TTCCTTCCAGTTTCGCAACCAGTATGACAACGATGTCACCGTTTGGAGCCCGCAGGTAACACCTTTAGATGGTTGCTCGCTGGCGTTTTGCTGGCATTTTGTCTTCCCTTCAGTCTTAGATTGTGGTCAGGTGCCTGAAGCTACTGCAGGCTGCTCCCTCCCTGTTCTGTGGGCTGCAGCTGTCTAGAAAGTTGTCAGCACATCTCTGAGCTTCTGGTGTGTGGACCTGAACGAAGCTCAGGTGGATCCTGCTATGTCAAAGTGCTTAAGGCACCTGCTTTCTGAATGTCCCTGGGAGGTACAGATGAGATGCTGTCGGCCTTGGGGGTTATACTAGGTGATCTGTAAAGGTCCATTCCAACCCAAGCCATTCAATGGTTGATTTACAGACCTGTGATAAAAAACTGCTAAGTAACGTGTGATAAATCATGAAACTGGGCTTAACTCTCCCAAATGTTAGGCTATTGCTAGGTCATTCTTCCTTCTATTCACCAGGTAATAGTGAAAAGGAACTATTCAGTTTACAATTGTGAAGAACTTTCCTTTAGTTTTACTGTATTAAAATTGTTCAGAACAGAATTAAATTATTAAAAGTTAGCATTTAGTGCTTAAGTGAGAACGTGCTGACTTTCAAGTATTGCATGACAGCACCTCTCTCTGTGCACACTTTTATTGCCTTGTAAGCCCCTGTGTGAATGTCTGTACCTGTATGTACGTGGAATCTGAGATACTGATTCATACATTCCTGTAGGTGAGCCAGTGATATGATACTGATTTTTTTTACATATGAATTACTGTTATTAATTAATTTTCTACAGTGAAACAGTCACAAACATCCTTGTTGAATAAATTCCATGTATGAAGCTTATAATGATAACATTGAGAGTTAGAGCGTGTAAGCGGTTCAAAGCCATATCACTTTGTAATGCAGTTTACGTTGTGCTTCAGTTATGAAGTCTGTAGCTGTGTTCCCCTCACTTACCATGTTGTGGAATGTTAGTGAAGCTAGATGCTATCTCTGTACTTAAGATTTGCACTTGAATTTGAAATTTTATTACCTCTGAATCAGTTTCACATTGTATACTGTTATTAAAAACGTACACTGTGTGTTCTAAAACTTAACACAGGTTGTGTTGACTTCAAAATAAATATTCTAGAATTTTAAAGGAGAGTGTCAGTGTAGAGGTTTAATATTGCCTCTTCTCTTGGTGTGGACATTTAAAGACAGGATACTTATGGAAAATCGGAGTCTTGAAAATTGACTTGTTTCTAGATTTATCAAAACTAAATGTTTATTTTAAATGCAAATAGCAAGTTGTACTAGTGTAAAGTTCATATATTGTTAGTTTGTGGGTTTGTATTACTACTGAAAATACTACTGCTCATGTAGTAGTATTGTTTAAAAGGTACATTTTCAATGAATATTGTAACAGAGCATGTTTTGTACCTTCTGTCCTATATGAAGACAACCTTGAATACTTGAATGTTCTTTAGTCAAAACCATGATAACTATAGATGGCTTTGAACTGTTTTCATCCTTCTTAATGATTGCATTTCTCTGGCAAATTCTGTATCAGGAACGTACTTCAATTTTAAATTTTTAAATCTGTTACTTAAAAAGTTACTTTTTAAACTACAACAACATTCTCTTGAGACTTCTAGTAGATGTTGTGAAGTCATTGACAACACAATTTTCTATTTTTTTTCATAAATTGCCTTGAAAATGAGTAGAGTTGATGTCTTTTATAAAAAAAGACATTTAAAATTGCTACTGTGCTGCATTTACTGCTCCATACATTCCTGTAGGTGAGCCAGTGATATGATACCATAATAGTTCTTGGTAATATTAATACAGGAGCAAAGAATAATCATATTTTTGAGGGGGTGTTTTCAAATATTGTTATAAAGAAAAGGAAATAGGAGATTAAAGGCTAGGAGGGGTTTCATGCTTTTACAGTCTTGCGAGTCATTCATGGATGTTGATAAATACACGTTGGACAGGTCACAGCGATTCCATACTGCTCTTGGGCAGGAAATAGCCTACCTTATTGAAATTCCATTTATAACCTAGTGGATCAAATGGAACATCAGGACATTTTAAGCATCTAATGGACTTTGTATTTCTCTAGATAAATCAAATAAAATACCTTTAACAAAAAAAAACCAACAAACCATCCAACAACCTAATAGAAGGTGATTTCTTGTGGATTATCCCCAGTACATTTCACTATAAGAGTTACTACCTTTCTCTCCATCACAACTGGTAGGATGCAGCTGTGGTTGGCAATTCCAGTGCTTGCAGAGCAGCAGTGAAGGTGCTGACTAGTGGATGTTGGCTGGCCAGCTGCAGAGAGACAGTTGGCTGCTTTGCCCTCAGTGGTTGCATTAAAAGGATGTTGTCTGTTTTCCTGCAAAGCTCTTGACCGCCTTTGCAAAACTTATGGGGACTTCATTGTCTTTGAGACCTCTACTCCTCTTTCAGACTTTCCTGCAGTTGACTAATAAGTTGTTCAGAAGTTATTAGGGAATGGATGGTGAGACACAACAATTGCATAAGACTCATTTCTTCAGGAAACTCGCTGAGAAGTTAAACGCCCAACTTCAGCTGGAAGTTCTGTCTTTGAATCATGCTGGATCAAATACTGATTCCTCTGAAGACAGTGTCAAAAGTCTTGTGATTCTTATAATGTCAAGATTATTCACCCTTTCTTTTTAGTTTTCCTGTTTCTTTGTATGCAGTAGTGAACAGCTCGGAGACAGTGAGATTTTTGTGGGTTAATGGTGAGGCATTTGCAGAACATAATTGAAGAAGCCTATTGGTTGGAGGTTTAAACTGTTATGCAGTATGTGTACCTGTTGGGGTGGAGGAGTCAAAAGTCTGAAAATCAAAAACCATTGAAAATTGTTACAGAGGATTAAATTTAGAATTATCCCTGATTTTATTCTGTAGGGCCGAATTCATCAAATAGAATATGCCATGGAAGCTGTGAAACAAGGCTCAGCTACTGTGGGGCTGAAGTCAAAAACACATGCTGTGCTGGTTGCTCTCAAGGTAAGTTCAAAACTGTTCTCAGGGCAGTAATGTTAGTAGAAAGGTTTTGGTTTGGCAAATTAGTTTTATGCAGTCTGAACTTTTATGTGTAATGTAAATGCAATCCCAGTTTCCTTTTGCTTGAATACCAGTATAGAACTATAAATATTTTTAATACCTATGCAGAGCAGATTTTCACAAAATTATGAAGGAAATGAGTGAAAGACTTTTTTTCCCTTTAAAAGATGTTTCTTTTTTTCTTTAGTTCTGAAGTAGTAACACTATTTATTTCTTTTTCTAAAGCTTGAGTGAATGTTTGTTCTTTCTTTTATTCTGACAGTTTCCTACTGAAATGGGTTTTTCTTGTTTTCTGTTGCAAGTTTATAAATTTGTATTATTGTTTCATGATCATATTCAGTTCTTGCTATAAATGTTAGCAGATTTCTCCACAGTGCTTGGCAAACTATTCAGTCTGCCACATAGCTTTTTCCTTTTTTGTGTAGAGAGCACAGTCTGAGCTGGCAGCTCATCAGAAAAAAATCCTGTACGTTGACAACCATATTGGTATCTCAATTGCTGGACTTACTGCTGATGCAAGACTCTTGTGGTGAGTATCTTAGTTGTTGACATACACAGTTCTGCAACAATGAGTGAAAGTTCATTTGTAGGGTATTGCGAATGAAATTTTATGGTCAGCTAAGGATTAGTCTTGAGGCACTGTTCTCTTGTACTATGCCAAAGACCTCAGCATGAAATTCTGGCAGATTTTTAACTAGTTGGCAGAAATCTCATTTGTTTGGCCCAAATTTTGCTCTTTGGTTTTATTACTAGTAAGACAGTCCTGTCTGGTTCCATCAGTGTGCTGGGGTTTCCAAGCAGTCTGAGAAAAGGGCACTGCTGCCTCTGTGTACAAACATTTAAGAAAGTTATTACATACGCTTTTGTTTGTGTCAGCTTCAGAGGGGCTTGCTTTTTACTTGCTGGCCTCATGGTTTCATCAGGTGAGGTAAATGTACGTGGAAGGAGGAGTGATCCTCAGTTTGATAGGAGAGGACAAAGAAGGCATAGGAAGAATTTCTCGAACAAATTTTAATTGCTGTAACACTGCAAAGAAATATTACTGTTTAACTGTGGCTTCTTTCCAGCTGATCTGTCTGTTGCCTGTGTGAACTTCTACCTTCTTTGCATTTGTGTGGCTGAAATACCGTAATATTCTCTCAAACCTGTGGTCAACTTTCTAAATGACAATTATAGGTCACAATGAAATGAAATCACGTAGTGCCTTTGACCCTTTTTCTCGGTGAGCAGAGCTAAAACAAAAATATACTTATCTTAACAGACCAGTATTGAGACAAAAACTCACTGTGACTTTCATCTATGCGTTGATTTGATTTTTTTTTTCTTCTTCCTAGCAATTTCATGCGTCAGGAGTGTCTGGATTCTAGATTTGTGTTTGATAGACCTCTTCCAGTTTCTCGCCTAGTGTCACTAATTGGAAGCAGTATCCTTTGGTTTTTTTCACACTTGTAATGCTTTTATGGTTTTTTACTTGTTTGTACTTGTTCATAAAATAATTTTCATCTATCATAACTTGAAAGTTATATTAAATTGAAAAGTTAATTCAAAGTTAACTTTCTTTATTCACATTGCTTGTGTATTCTTTCAGAGAATATCCCATAACATGCACTGAACTGGTTAGAGAAGCAACATTGAGCATAGCACTGTTTTCTGTTACACAGCCCCTTGCCTCTGGAGGTGGGGGAGGAAAAGTGACTGCACTGTTCAAATATGATCATTGACTGGATTGCAGCTGCTCGCTCACATCTTTTTTATTTCTGTGGCAACTTCTGTCTGTGCATGGAACACAGCAGAGGCCTTGTATTCTGTTATCAGGTGCCTAGAAAAAAAATTCAAAGGGGTAAGAAATTAAATGAGGCTGTGCAGCGTTAGGTGAACTGTTTGTATTACTTGGTTGAATGCACCACTAATTGATAAATTTTATCATTAAAAAGAAGTCAGTTTTCCAAATAAGTCCCAAGATCTATTTCTTTGAACATAGTCTTCACTGCTACAAAAAGGTTTTCAAAGACTATGTAGCGATTTTGGTGTGTCTCAGCTTGGCTTAGGAAAATGTTTTGGGTAATTAACATGTAATTTTGAGATTCTTTCCTTAGCTTACGTAAGAAACCCAGATACCAACGCAGCGTTATGGCAGAAGGCCGTATGGCGTAGGGCTGCTCATTGCGGGTTATGATGTAAGTAAGCTGCGCTAGTTACTGTTGATCTAAAAGAAAATAGATACTAAGAGGGGAAGATAGAAGCTTCCTTCTGTCTTTTGATGAGGTAGACTCATCAAAATTCTCCGAATAAGGAAATAATTTGCTTTATCTTACCCTAAAACATAACTTTAAAAAATGTTTATTAATAACTAATCCTGCCTACGCTTATGAAGTGTACCTTTGCAAAAGGAAAAACTAATTATTTTAAGGTACAAAATGACACCCTGAAAAAATTAGATTCGTTCATGTTTTAAGGGATCAAAATGTTCATCCCATGATGACAGTAATTATTTTACTAATTATTATGGAGATTTACAGACTACTATTTTAAATACTTATAAAAAATAGATATGGAAATCATCACTGGCCTCTCTCTTACTCGTTTAGCAACAACAGTTTGCTTAATGCAGCATGCACAATATCTCTGCCCTGAAGATTTTTTTACATGAGGAAGGTTGAAGGAAACTCATTTTGCCTGAAATCTCACATGGCACGGTTAAGTCTACAGCAGGTTTTTACTTTTGTGCAGATAAGACAGAACGTGTGTAAAATATCTGCTGCATCCATGAAGTAGGAAGCACACATAAGCATAGTACAGTTTATGGAACAGAGAAAGAAACATTTTTGCTGCCAGCTATCCTGCACACGTAAAAACTGCATTTTAATGAACAAAGTGTAAAGAAAGATTTTTATTTTTTTTAATAGCTTTGAAGTAATTGTACAAGAACAGCGGTATGATAAGCACTGTAAAATACATTTTATATATCTATAAATATATAAAAA